GTTAGCATCTTGTGAAAGGAAATCTGGTGATTCCCAACTCTGTTGACAGGGCTTCATCTCTGGCTAAATTCAAGTCCCATCACCCATGTGAATCTGGGCAAGTTACTTAGCCTCTCTGACTCTCAACTGCTTTGTACGCAAAATAAAGCCATATTACCTACTACCTACGAGAAAACAGATGTGGGGGGCAAGCATAGTGGCATAGTAGGCTAATTCTCTACCTGCGCTGTTAGCATTCCATATGGGCACCAGTTTGAGTCCAGGCTGCTGTACTTCTGTTCCAGTTCCCTGCTTATGGCCTGGGAAAGCAGCAGAGGATGGCCCAAGTCTTTGGGCCTGTACCCACATGGGAGGCCCAGAGGAAGCTCCTGGCCCCTGGCTTTGGATTGGCTCAGCTCAGCTCTAGCCATCATGGCCATCTGGGGAGTAAACCAAAGGATGAAAGATTTCTCTTTTTCTCTCCTCTCTCTGTAAATCTATCTTTCAAATCAAAATAAATGATTTTAAAAAGAATACAATTTTTTACATAACAAAATCAATAATATCCCATCAGGCTTAAGACCTCCCTTTCATTTCTTAGTTCTCAAGTTGGATCAGCCTGGAGCAAAGATAAAGGTAAATGTTGGAGAAAGGAGAGCCAGACACACGCCAAAGGAGAAAACGCCCCAGTCCAAAATAAACCCAAAGCCACATGGAATACCCTCTAGGTGGCCTTGGTTTGTACTGGGATTGTGTACCCGGATGCAGTTCCTCTGAGGTACTGAGCCCCATTTCCTTGTGATTTGCAGGTGGGTGCTACTCGGTTGAGGGGCACTCAGCTCAGTGTTGCTTCCATGCAGGTAATCACTGGGCAGCACCACCCATCCTCACCACCTCACCTACATCCTGGGGCCTCCCTGCAGTGGCTTCCCAGCACACGCCAGGACAGTCCCCACTCTGCTGCAGCAGGGAGCTCAGGCTGGGAAAAAGGTGGGTATTTGTTGGTGACAACTGGCGAGCTCTGATTCCAGGCAGCATACCCTGCAAGCCCCCTGGAAGTCCCTGAAGGCAGTCAATCATGTCCTTTGTTGCTTGATCTGCTACCCTCTGGTATACAACAGACCTTCAATAAATGCTTACATCAGTGACTTGAAATCTGCCTGCCACCTCATTTTCAATCTCCAGGTGAAATAAAAGTCCTTGAGTATCACACATGCACTGGACTCCCACCCAGGCACTCATTCATTCATTCACTCATTCACACACCCATTCTATTAACAATGTGCAGCAGACAGGGATTTGTGGTGACAAATGTTCGCAGCAGCAGAAGTCTGTACAAAGAGCAACAGAAGCAAAAAGGTGAAATCCAGTCATAGCTACGCTGTTGGGAAGTGGTAAGGATGGCTGAGGCTTTCCGGAGGAAACGGCCTCTGAGGGTGAGCAGGAAGTCCGTGGGCGGAAGTGAGGAAGACCAGCAGCAGCATCCTGAACCAGGATGGGAAGAGGCCAGAGCACAGAGCTGGCGTCTTGTGGCCCTGGGGCCAGCCCTTTGTAGGAGGGAGGATGGCTGAAGCCTGAGACAGGGAGAAGTCAGGGCAAGAAACTCCTGCAGGCCAGGCCAATGTTTATCCTACAATGTTTAACGTATGTACAATGCCCAGTCTACTGGGCAAGAGCAAGCCATGACCTGTCTTACTTAAGACTGCTCCTCTTTGGTGACCCTGCCCAGTTCTACCGCTCTACACCAAGGCTAAGAAAGTGTCCAACAGTGAAGGAGTCTGAGTATCTCCATCACAACAAGGGTTGGGGGAAGGATTTAAGAGGCGGTCATTAAAGAATATCCTCCACACAGGTGGTTCATAGTCCAAGGCAGGCCAGATAGCTGACTCGCATCTATCACTTTCAGGCTAGAAAGTGGAAATGGAGAACAGGTTATGGGCAAGGGCGCAGAGATGACACAGTGGCCACATCCCAGGGGCAGCATGGCTGACCTGACTCACTGGGTGAGAAGGGAACAGAATACAGGTGGGAGAGGAGGTACAGAGAGCCCTCAAGGAGAACCAAAGCCAGGAAGGAAATGGAGAGTTTATCATCTTTTTTTAAAAAATTACTTTGTTTTAATTGATTTAAAAGGCAAAGAAAGATAGACTAAAAGAGGTCTCCCATGTGTTATTTCACTCCTCAAATGCCCCCAAAAGCAGGTGCTAGGTCAGGCTGCAACCGGGAGCCTGGAAGCCAATTCAAGTCCCACATGAGTGGCAGGAACTCAAGCGCTTAAGCCATCTCTGTTGCCCGACAGAGTGCATATTAGCTGAGATTTAAACCCAGGCATTCCAATATGGGACACAGGCATTGCAGGTGGCAGTATAACTGTCACACCCCAGGCCGGCCCCACAATTATGCAGATCATGAATATGGGTGAAGAGGGGGTTGCACAGAGGACAGAGGCCTCCTTTAAGGTGCCAGCTAGACCTTCTGCAAGATCTCTTCCAGCTGGCAGGAGGTTGTAGCCAGGGGCACACCTGCCCCCACTCAGGCTCCAGGAAGTGTCTCCTTCACCATGAGGTCATTCTTCTAAGTTCCGGTTCCCTCTCCCTTCCTGAAGTTGCCCAGCTGGGAGTGGGCCAGGGAACACACAGCTGGGAGAGTCAGGAAACTGCAGTCATGTGACCATGAGTGGAAGACAACTCCTGTCTGCCGCTCACACTGTCTCCAGGTCAAGGAAGATGTGCAGATCACCGACCATTCCCATCTGGCTGCCAATTGAGGACCACACTGGCTGGACTTGTTCCCTTAGGCTATGGACACCCAGCTCATCGTGCCTAGAGCTGAATGTTCCTGCCTTCTGCAAAGGGAAATAGCTATGATTAGAGCACCCATGCCATATTCAGCACCAAATGTCTCTAAAGCTCTTACAACTGCTCTGCCAGGCAGATCAGCATCAAAACTGAAACATCAGAGACCCAACATAACCTGGAATAGGTTGGAGCGGGGCTCAACCCCCAATCCAGCTGAGGGCAGGCCAATCCTCCCCTCTCCACAGCAAGCCATCATAGATGTATCATGAAGCAGCTCCCCCTACCTCTACCAGCCCCAACAGAGACAAGGAGGCCGTTCAAGGCTGGTCCCTAGAGCCAGGGAAGACCTGAGAATACAAGCACCCATCATATCACTAGGAGGGAGAACTGGGTGCAACCTAGGCAGGTTTTACCCTGGGACTCCTGGGGCAGAACTTGGCAAGATATCTTGATAACAGGATGCTGGACTCTGCCATTGTCCATGCCCACAATGATGGACATATGACTGTGCATGAAGAACTATACTATAGTAATGATATAGGGACTCACTGAGGTGGGGAGGGAATTGGGGAAGGCATAAGGGAAATTCCAGGACCTATGGAACCGTACCATAAAATGATAATAAAAAGAAGCAAAATTTTAAAAAAGATATCTTGTGTTAGAAAAGATCTAGGATGTCATGACCCTGTGCATGGGAGACGGGCCATGCTAAGGAATCACACAGCAGAATCGCTCCACCAGACAGAGTGAGAGGTGTGGGGAGGATGCCATCATATTCATGGAGTTTGTACCCTGGCACAGCTACTGTGAGGCCCACCATGCCCACTCTAACCCAGACCCACAGGCCAGAAGGTAGGTGTCCATATGGGTTCTGCCTTCTTTTCACCTCCACACCCATGTGGGCACTAACTGGCACTCCAACTGACTGCTGTATCGGAGCCTTGACCAGCCCTCCATCCTGCCTAGGCCGGCCTTTCAGCTGAGTGTCCTGCCTCCAGGCTAGCCCCATTCTGTCCATCCTCCCAGCCAGAGGGAGTGTCCTGATGCCCACACCTGCTTCTCTCACCTCCCTGTGCACTCGCAGCCTGTGGTTCTCAGGCCTAGAGCAGATCCCTGGCGCAGCTTCCTCCCCTGGTGTCCGCAACCTGTCCCAGACACCTTCTCTCTGCTTGCACTTCCCCTGAAAGCAGCATCGTTTTAGTAATCATACACACTGCTGCGTGTCCTCTCTTCCTCTGCTAACTCCTGCAGGTCGTTCAGGATTCAACTCCTATACCACCTCTTCTAGCAAGCCCTGAGAGCCAATCTCACTTAGATGTCCCCTCTTTGGGGGCTTCCCTGCTCCCCGCTTCCCCACCCCATGCTTCCATCATCACAAAACTAAGAGCTGCCAATCTTTCTTTTCTATCTTCTGCACCAAGTTTCCTTTTGGAAAGAGGAACTAAACCCAGATAGAACCACCGTTGATTTTGTACCTACAGCAACCCTCAGGCACCAAGCACAGTGCTTGAAAAACCACAGGCATTTCTGGAGAGAAAAGTGAATGTATCTTTCCATGTAAACTTGTCACAGACCCAAGCGGGGGGGCTTTGTGCATCCCGGGTCTTGCAAAGGCTCCTCAGGCTGAGGTTGAGCTCAGTGACTAAGGGAACTGCTCTTTCTATCGTTGCCCACACTCTTGCTTTATGACATCCCATGTGGTCACAATGAACTTTCTTGACCCTAACTATCAGTTACCGCAAATGATCAGTGGCCCGGCAAGCAGTTTTCTGCTGTAGTGTGGGTCAGAGTCAGCGAAGACAGCCAGGAGTCTCAGCTGGGCTGCCAGCTCTGGTCAAGAGGGGCTGGGCCTTAGGGGAGTTCTGGACAGCCCTCCGACTTTAACTAGCCCTTCTGATTGTGCTCAGCCTGGACTCAGTTTGTGACTCCTGAGATACTCCAGGGTATGAAATGTGTCAGGTCCCAAGTCTCCAGTCTACTGGTCCATTTGTTTAAAAATTACGCCCCACCTGTTCCAGGGAAGACATCAGGTGCCCCTGGCTTAAGCAAGGAGCAGCCTATATGTGCAGAAAGCCTGTTGCAACAAAGGACTCTCCCTGGGATCACTTCTCTGCCAGGAGCTCAGGGGGTTTGCAAGGGTAAGACAAGGAGAGCCAAGTGGGCTCCAGGCTTCTCCTGGCTCCCTTAGGCTCTGGTTCTGGTCCCCCGCTTCCCTTTACTGACCTTGAGATCAAAGTGAGCAATTTTCTTTGTGTGCAGGTAGTGCACCCCGTCCAGGATCTGCTTAATGAAGCTGGTGGCCTCCTCCTCACTCAGCGACTCCTTCTGGGCCAGGAAATCAAAGAGCTCTCCTCCAGACACTCTGCAAGACATCAGTGGGGGAGGACCAGGCCCAGTCAGCTCTGCACAGCAGGAGGCCAGGCTGCTATGGGGGTGCGTGTTGAATCTGCCCTCCTCCAGGCACACGGGAGGGCAGCATCCCCCTTGACTGCATCTTGGGGATGCATCCAGACAGCAGCAGTGGTTGAATGGGCCTCTTGGTGCTCTGCTATTTCCTTGCCATAGGGATGGGTCACAATGGATAATCCTGGGCCTTATTTCCTCGGGAATGTCTGGAATGCCCTACTGGAACCACTCAGGCCTTGTCTCAGCCCGAGATGAGTACCCTGTGGGTCACTTGCTACACAGTCACACACATGTGTAACCTGAACTGCAACTAACTTCTTTCTTTTTCTTTTTTTTTTAAGGATTTATTTATTTTTATTACAAAGTCAGATATAAAGAGAGGAGGAGAGACAGAGAGGAAGATCTTCCATCCAATGATTCACTCCCCAAGTGGCCGCAATGGCTGGTGCTGCGCCAATCTGAAGCCAGGAACCAGGAATGCGGCTGCAGGATCCTAAAGCTTTGGGCCGTCCTCAACTGCTTGAAGTGGAGCTGCCGGGATTAGAACCGGTACCCATATGAGATCCCGGTGTGTTCAAGGTGAGGATTTTAGCTACTAGGCCACACCGCTGGGCCCAACTAACTTCTTTCAACCCCCGTGCCTACGATGTGTAAAAGCCCAGTGCTATATATACTGGGTGGCCATTTTCTTCACGTGGTCATCCCGCCATGTGGAAGTAGTCTTGGGCTGTCTCCTGTCAGGGAGCAGTCCATCAGGCTCTCTCCCTTGATAATAAAACTCTGCACACTTTAATAAGAGACTGAAGGAATTAGGACTCCTTATGAAGGACTATACTATTATAGCAACATGGGGAAAATCTGTCGACAGGGTGGAAGTTTGGGGAGGAGTTCTAGTCTATACAAAATTATACCACAAAATTCAAAAATCCAAAATAAAAATAGAACAACAACAACAACAAAAAAACCTGCCTGAACTAAAAGTCTCTCTCTCTCTCAATCACCTTCCTAACCTAATAGTTCACTCACCAAATGACCGCAATGGTCAGGGTTTGCCCAGGACAAAGCCAAGAGCTCAAGCCAGATCTCTCATGTGGTGGTCATTTTCTGCTGCCTGCACAGGCACATAAGTAGGGAAATGGATTGATAGTGGAACAGCCAAGACTCAGACTGGCACTCTAAAATGGACTGTTGGTGCTATAATGGCTTAACCTACTGTACCACAATGCTGGACCCAGATTTTCAATTTTTTTTTTTTAGTGAGAAACCTAAGTGGTTATAAATAGAACATTGGCAAAAATATGGTGACAGAGGCCATTCTGGTGGAAATGAGGAACACATTGTAGACAGCGGGAGAAAGGGCCACCTTTGTTAGAAAGCAGCAGAGAACTTGGACTGTGTCTTGTGGGAGTTAGGACCTGGTAAGTAATGCAATGGGATATTTGGCAGAGGAAATTTCTAGGGAAGATGTTGAAGGAATGGCTTGGTTTCTGGTTCCTGTTGATCGGAGTAATATTCAAAAAGAGCAAAATGACTTAAGGGACAAAAAATGTTCATCCAAAGAGAAGTAAAATGTGAAGTACTTCCAGGAGACAACGGTGGGACAGGTGTAGGATAAAGATTCCCTTCGAAAAGTGAGAGGTGGGAAAGGAGACAGCAGCGACAAGCCCCAAGCCAGTCTGGATGTGAAGACCTGAGACTAACCTTAACCTCTGGCTCAGCACTCCGCCCTCTGAGCTCACGGGGACAGAGTCTAGCCTTTGAGAGAGAAAGCAATTCTCAGCCTCTTAGCAAAAATAAGATCATGGGTTGGATAGAGATCAAAGGTGTGGCTAAGTATCATTTGATAAGGAGATTGCTATGAATCAACCATTTCCAGGGAATTAGGTGATTTCAGGAAGGGAGGGACTTGTCAGCAGGACAATGAAAACGAGTCACCACCAGAAACTGGGACCCATTGTCCAAGACAACAGAATGATGACCCAGGAAGTCATTTTGAAGGACCTGGGCTGAAGGTAGCTGCTGCTCCTCCCACAGGTACATGCTACCAGGGTCCAGGAACTAGAACAACATCAAAGGAAGGGCCTCACCTGCCCAGGCACCTGTTCTATGGACTCGGCTCCTCAGATCCTGTTGCCACATTCCTCATTCACTGCAGGTGCAACTCCCAGAATGCCCTGGTGTGGCGTGCTCTGTGTCAAGTAAAACTGTGGAGGCATGGCTGCTTGCACCAGGATGTCCCAGAGAGCTGGGGAGCCCTGCGCAGAGAACTGCCTTGGGGAAGAAGCCAACATGAAGAGCACCCATTAGGACAGCACCCAGTGGGGCTGTGGGGTGAGGCTGCCCTCAAGTCTCCAGACCAGCAGAGCTTCTGCACTTGCATTCCATCCAGGAGAACCACCAACTAGGAACTCCAATCCACAGACAGCCACGGCGGGGCTGTCTTAACCCAGCAAAGCCACAGGAACTGAGCCACACAGTGGCAAGGAACACATGCTGTCCCAGTGGGCTGAGGGGGCAGAGTGTTAGACTGGCATGGGACCCGTCACTGCTGTTTTCTGGTCTAGTTGTCCCTTTTAGAATGGAAACATCTGGGTCCGGCATGATAGCATAGTGGTTAAGGTCCTTGCCTTGCACCGGAATCCCATATGGGTGCTGGTTCTAATCCCGGCAGCTCCACTTCCCAACCAGCTCCCTGCTTGTGGCCTGGGAAAGCAGTTGAGTATGGCCCAAAGCTTTGGGACCCTGCAGCCGCGTGGGAGACCTGGAAGAAGCTCCAGGCTCCTGGCTTTGGAATGGCTCAGCTCCAGCCATTGCGGCCGCTTGGGGAGTGAACCATCGGATGGAAGATCTTCCTCTCTATCTCTCCTCCTCTCTGTATATCTGGCTTTGCAATAAAAATAAATAAATCTTTAAGAAATAGAATGAGAACATCTCTCTCCTTTGCCTGTGCCACCACTGCACCCTAGAGATGCATCCACATCAGATGGCACAGGGTCACAGCTGTAGAACATGCTGCCTTGGTACGAGTCCGATCTTGACTTTGACCCAAAAGTGATTTAGAGACCCTGTAGACAAGACACTGCACTTTCAGCCTCAGAGTTGATGCACGAGTGAGTTCAGAATGTTGGATCTACTCAGTTGGAATAAATTCTCTTCATATTTGAAAAGGACATAAGTTCTAGAAGAAGCAGAGAGGACACACGGATAGAATGCTCTAGTCCTAAATGGATTCAGACAGACAACACAGTGGGGCAAATTGAAACTGAAAACTTAGATTCCATTCCAGTGTTGTCACTGACCAAGTCAACACATTCCCCTTCTCTAGTTAGGTCCAAATTTTCTCACATGCACAATGGGCAGATTGGGCAAGATGGCCTCTCAAGTCTCCTTTTTCTGATTTCATAAAAAGTGGCTCCATTAGTTATACTAATCTCTGAAGGCTCTAGAATATCATGTTCAGCTACTACTTTTTTCACATCCTACATTCTGATATGCTATGTTTGCTATGACAGGAATATAGACAAACAGGGCAAAAGCGGTCTCTACCATGGACTTTGGCTTGCTGAATCCGGCAACACAGCCGGGCTTATTGATTCTATCACAGATACTGGGATAGGCAGCCAGCATGAAGCTGGGAGAGAGGAGCCCAGGGAGAGACTGGGCCAGTGCACCCAGGACCCCAAGATAATCTGGAGAGCTTGCCCTTATCCAATCATATTCTCCAGCAGCGAGGTTTTGAAATGGGTAACATTTACAATAAATAATGACATGTGAGTAATAGTTATCATCATGCATATTCATTGAATGCTTACTCCATTACATGCTTTATGCACATGATATTATTTAACCATGCAATAGTCTAGGGGCTAAGAACTATTATTTTCCTGTTTCATGGTTAAGGAAACAGCGTCTCAAAGAAGTTAAACAATTTGCCCACAATCATGCAGTCAGTAAGCAGTACAGCTAGCATTCAAATTTGGACAGAGTGATCTTAGGCCCTGGCTCATACTTTGAAGACTTTTACATGGCCACATGATTCTATTCCACTTTGGGGACTCGCTCCCTGACCCCCGGTCCACCCTAAATATAGAGCATCACAACCTGCTTTTGCCTTTGTTCAAAAATGTCCAGGAACACACCCAGACACACTCAGAACCTGAGCATTATGAGACGAACAATCAGACATGACGACTCAGCAGCAACAGCCAAGTATCGTGACCTAAAAAGCTGGACCTGAATCAGCCTAAGCCTGTCACCAGAACTTCCCACAGTGAGGGGCATGTCCCATACATAGGCTGCCCACATAGTGGCAATGAGCCAAAGTGGCTTCTGGGTACTTGAAAAAAATGGCTTAGTGCACTGAGAATTGAATTTTATTTTTAAAAGATTTAGTTATTTTAAAATTGGAGTGACACAGAGAGAATGACAGACAGCTCTTCTATCTGCTGGTTCACTCCCCCAAATGGCTACAAAACCCAGGGCTGTGCCAGGCTAAAGCCGGGCCCCTGAGGCTCCATCCTTTTCTCCCACATGGGTGGCAGAGGTCCAAGCATTTGGGCCATCTTTCACTGCTTTCCGAGGGCATTAGCAGGGAGCTGGATCAGAAGCAGAGCAGCAAGGACTCCTATTGGCACTCTGATATGCAATGTCAGCATCACAAGCAGCAACTTAACCTGCTGAACCATAATGCTGGACCCCAGAAACTGAATTTTATATATTGTTTTTGGGTGTACATTTAGCCTAATAATTATTATACCAGATAGGATGCCTGTGTCCCATATCTGTGAATCTAGATCTAATCCTGATGTCTACTTCCTGATTCCAGCTTCCTGCTAATGTAGATCCTGTTAATGTAGGTGGCAGTTGCAATGACTTAAGTAGTTCCTACTGCCCGTGTGGGAGACCCAGATGGAATATCCAAATCCCAGCTTTGGCTCAACTCATCCCTGGCTGTTG